CATCCTCTTGTTCCTCCCACGTGGTTCTGGCGAGCTAAGAAAATGTTTGTCTCCCTGAGCTCAGCCTTCATAATTCCATTCCATCACAGTTGTAAGCCTTTTGAAGTGGGGCAGCTATAATAAATCATCATCATCATCATCATCATCATCATCATCATCATCTCACACCTGTATAGCTCAGAGGTAGCAGGGTTCCAATACTATGGTTCCAAATGGCTATCATATGTGAATGAGTACATTAGAATTGTGTGGGTGGCAGGGCTATTGAGAAAAGTCTCTCCCTTTCCTTGACTAGCATTTCTCCTGCTAATGTCCCCTTGCAAAATGGGTTCCTAACATTTGAAGTAGTTTCTAAAGTGTAGTCTGCACATGCAAAGTGGTCTTCAGATCTGGAGAAATCAGTGCCTGAAGATACCTTTACTGACCTCAGCACAATAAGCATTTTATAGACTAGAAACAGCAGAGAGGGAGAAATGGCTAACACATGAAGTCAATAGAACAACTGACTGCAGAAGTACATAGTTTTCAATGGTTTTCATAGTTAAAGAAAGGTTTAATATGGATAAAAAGACAATTGGAATTGAAAAACATAAAATGGAATTTGAAATTGAATTATGAACAAATGATGAACATGTAATAGCAAAAATGTATAAACTTTTGTTAAGTTTTGAAACAGAAGAACAGATTTTGTTAAGATTTGAAACATGAAAAAAATGGGCTATTAATTTTGGATATAACAAAGAGATGGACGCTTGGGAGAGAATGTGGGTAATTGGTATTAAATTTACATTGTGTCATAATCTAAGAGAGAAAACTTTTATAAAATGATGTATCGTTGGTATAGGACACCAACGATTTTGATAGAGAAACTATCAAAAATGTATAAAGGTATTTCAAACCAGTGTTGGAAATGTGAAAAACATGAGGGGACATTTTACCATGCATGGTAGGCTTGTGAGAAAGCTAAGAAATTTTGGATACAAATTCATACAGTGATGCAAAGGATGTTAAAGACTAATATTGCAAAGAAACCAGAACTCTTTTTATTGGGACTTATGGACAATTAATTAGAAATAACACATGGTAGACTGATTTTGTATATGATAACTGCAGCAAGATTATTGTATGCACAATGATGGAAGAACAACAAAATCCCCACAGTGGAGGAATGGATTGTGAAAATGTCAGAATTTGCAGGAATGGCAAAATGACCCATCTGGTCAGAAAAAAACAACAGCAAAAACTTTCCTGAAAGACTTATATGGACTTTTTACTGAAAAAAGAAAGAATTAAATATTGATTATATGTAGATTAAATGAGGGGCTGAAGGGACTTTTTTAATAACTAAGAGGGAGGAGGGGCTATAAAATTATAACTATCTATTGAAAAGAAGGTTGTAAGTCATATTTCTTTAGTTACTTTTTCTTCTCACTTTTTTGTCTCTTGCACTTATTTCTTTCTTTTGATTTGTCTTTTACTTTATGATTTTTTTTAATAAACATAAATTTAAAAAACCAAAGTGGTCTTAAGATTGGGGAAATCAAACTATAGAACTAATACAGGTAGTCCCCAGTTTAAGAACAAGTTCCGTTCCCAAGGTCTGTCCTTAAGTCGAATTTGTATGTAAGCTAGAACAATATTGTTGTACAATACTGTATAAATAGCATTGTGTAATTAACTCAAACCATTGTGTATTTAACTTGAATTTTGCTACAGTAGGCTCCGTTCTTAACTATGGGTCATTTGTAACCTGGGGACTACCTGTATTTTGTCCACATTCACTATCAAAATATGTGCATGAAAGACTAGCTGTAAGTGTTATTCCATGTAAATGTAGTTAGCAGTATTGCCCAACATGGACCCTGTCTAAGTAAGAAGATTTCAGTTCCCAATTTTTTCAGCAATGACCATGTTGGATGGAAATTCTGAGAGGTGGTCCTGATATCTGGGGCCTCTCAAGTTGCAGAAGTTTTAATCAATTCTGTAATCTCTCCCCAAATTCCAACAAGGTTTAACACATTCATGGGTTCCATCCAGGCAAACCTTTGGTGGATTCAGACTTTTCCAAACTCTGTATTTTATTTTAGGTTTGTATTTTAGTATTTTATTTTATTTTGGGCTCAATCACAGTAGAAATCTATTCCACTTTTCTTAGCTTTTAAAAAAGTGACTCAGAGCATAATGCTACCTGGCATATTTTTATTTAATTTTGCATTACATTCTCTGCAGTTGACTTCTCTGATTAGAAAATTTTCACCTCTTCTGGAACCACCTTTTTCTTTGTTTATATTTTGAGTCTCAATATAATTAAGCTCTGACAAGCCATAGAAATCTTAAAGCAATTAGCACTTTGGGCGGCTCCAGTTAATTCATATGGCTAATGCAGAAGAGGAGAGGGAAGGATTGAGTACACCATGGCAAACCACAAGCACATATTTTCCACTCAGTGTAAAGGTTCGACATAAAAAAGGAAGCCTGGCATTGTGGATGCCTAAATTCACTTAGGACCAAGTAAGTGAAACAAACAAACAATAGTAGCAGTGGTGAGAGGAGGTGAGTCTATTCAAATAGGATAACACAATTATGGTATCTTGTCCAAACCAGGCACCCCAAAACAGGAGCCAACATTAAATCTGATGTTCTAAATGAAAGTAATAGATAATAATGCATGAAAATTAGTCATAGGATTTATTATTTTGATATACAGAGTTGTGAAAATTGCATTAATACCTAGTCTTTTGTTGTGAAGAAGAAATAACATCCCAAGAGGATCAAATATGAAAAAGTTAATTGATCAAATATTAACCTGCCAATGTAGACAGTGGGCAGAGATCAGAAAAGCCCAGGAAACTAAAAATCTGAGTGACCAATCAGGAGCAGGAAGGCTTCCCCCTCTCTCTCTTCCCCCTTCCCTCCTCTTTTAAAAGGGGATGGGGGCAACTCCACTTTGCTTTTGCTCTTCTGCCTATCATCCCAGTAAGACATCTGGCCTCCTAGTATGGCACCTGCCAGTTAAATACTGGAGGAAAGAGCCATCTAGTGAAATGCGGAGATAGTTGTGATGTAGGACTTTTTAAAAACTTATATTATTGATCTATACCATTTCTTTATATGATATATTGTTCTACTTGTACGGTATATTTCTGCCTGGAGCATTAGCTGTGAGTTAAAGTCCAGAAATTCTGTGAAATTTTCCTTTCTCCCATTTCCATCAATTTTCAGCTCCTTAACCTTACCTTACATAATAATATCTTCTGAAATCAGCAGAGATTCTGGCAGGGAATTTAGCCTGCTACACAACTCAGCCCCTCTGCTAGTTACAGAAAGGCAAGAAGGTAGAAAGAGGAAGTTTCTTTACTCCTCCTGAGTAAAGATGAAGAGAAGAAATGTCTCTGAAAAGCGTACATGGTGACAGCACACAAACAGAACCCCAGGCCCAGAACTCTGGGAAGCTGCAAGAGTAAGGATTGTGAGTGCAGGACTCATGGACCCCCACTTGAGGCCAACCCATATGTGTAAGCATGTTCTCCATTACATGTCTGTATATCAAATCAAGGACATGTCACCTTGTTCAGAAAAATGCTATAGTTGTACTCTGAGTAGAATACAACTCACAGCCACACTTTGCAAAAAAAGCAGAGCCATGAAAGAGAAGTGAATGAAACCCCTACAGAAATTACAGTTATTTCATTTAAATTTAAATATTTCATTGAATTTATTATAGCTGCCCACTCCAACTGACTCTCGGCAGCTTACAAAATCCAAGTTTTTAAATTAAAAAATAATTTAATATTATTAAGATCATTACTTATTCTTTTGTCATGTTAGAAAATACAATTCAGAAGAAATGTAGAGGAGACTTTGGATCCTGCACCCAAGGCTCTAGGGAAGCAACACATGATTTGCCACACACACAAAAACACACATATTTCTACTGTGATCCGAAAGGATCTAATCATGGAAATATGATAGCATCAAGCAAATTTACAGCATTTGTCTATTGTAAATGGAGCAAGGCACAGGATGTAATTTATAAACCTCACCTTGAGGAAGGAGGTTGCCTGAGCAGGCCATGGGATTTCTGTGGACAATTCATCTAAGTTGCTCTTTGGGAATTGGCTCTGCTTTAGGAAGTCAATTTGTTGCTCAATTTCTTCCATCTCTTTGACAATTGGCTAAAACAGAATGCCAGCAATTACTATGAGCTGTTTCAAAGTGGATAATGGAACATGTATTCTAATAAACTCTTAATATTCACATATTTATGTATACTAAGAGATGATTCTGTTCTAATAGCTTAGAATGGTGCTAATTTCAATTGGGTACACATATGAAAATATTTTTCTAGATAGTGGGATCACTGATTCATTTAATCCAACTACTCTGATAGTGGTTCTCTGGCTTTTCAGGAGATAGAAATACTGAAGATTTGCAGAGGGATTTGTTTTTCTTTGTAAAAATTAATTGATAATGTACTTTCTGCATTGTTAGGCTATCTACTCCTGATTTTCTGCTCCGACATATTTGGTATTGCAGATAATTATCTTGAACATAGAGCAAAATACAGGTAGTCCTTATTGAGCGACTGCCTCATTTAGGAATTGTTTGCAGTTATGACCGCAATGAAAAAGTAACTGGTCTGTAAAGCAAAAAAAAAAAAAAAAAAGCTGAAGATCATAAACACAGCCACAGTTTCATTTAGCAACTGCTTCACTTAATGACCAAGTTGCCAGTCCCAATTGTGGTCACTAAATAAGGACCACCTGTATTTATTATTGAATTAATAAAAAGAGGAACCAATAACTCACTAGCTGAATTCACACAATACCTAAAGTAAGACTTGGTTAAACAACTGATATGTTCTGCCATTAGTTTGGAGTGGCTCAAAAAATGTCTTAAGAAGACATGCTTAGTTGTATACAAAGAGTAAATAGATACTGCTCTACTTGTAGGGGGAGCACACAAATACATTCAAGTTTATTGTTACTGGAGCTTAGTTATTATTTTTAATTTACTTTTTTATTATTTGTAAGCTGCTGAGAACTATTTTGGAATAGAATAACTAAATTACAGTAACAAAGAAACTATCATGCCGTGTGCATGTTGCTAACATTATGTCAATTATGCTCATTTAAGCCAAATACATATAAAATATGCAAAATGATTTCCATCTGTGTGTCATGAGAAGATCACTGTGTTTTAGTCACTAATTACTTATTCAATGATATCTGTACCACTATGCATGTGAGAAAAAGGAATCATTTACAATTTTATATTTGCTTTAATATATTCATATATATATATTCAATTATATAGTTTGTGCTATATAATTTGTGTATGATTAATTATTGCAGCTTTGATTATTAGACTGAGTCTTACCACTAAGTTCCTGCAAGTTAACTAAAAAAAAATCAAGGCATTTCCAATATCCTGTGCCTTGGATTAAATAATCAACCAAACCAGATACATAAGATTCATGAGCCAGGTCCTCCCTGTGTTACGGTCTTATTCAGCAACTAAATAGTAATTAAAAATTGCAAGGTATTTTCCACAAAGATTCACAAATTACCCCTCAAACAAATTTGCTTTTTACCTCAAGTAGTGTGTTTTGTTCCGCCGTGATTCTTTCTAGTACCTTCAGCTCTTTCAAAAGCCGTTTAGTTCTTTGGAATACTGAAAGAGGTTGCATTCTCATGTCAGTCAACTTCAAGTCTGCTTTATAGGATTGTATTTCAGCAAGAGCCTTCTGCATGGGGCAGATGTGGGTCAGTATAACCTAAAATAGAATGTATTAACAAGGAAGGGAAAGAAGTATGTAAGACTCAGCATACTTAGAGCACTTTGGGATGTTCATATATTTATGTTCAAAATACTTCACATATGCAAACTCAGAAAACCTAGGACAGCATTATTTTCAAAATACCTCCTCAGATGGAATCTAGAATTACATCCACTTGTACTTCTCCCTCACTTTCCTCCCCACTATATACATATCCAAGATTTATTTCAGAAACAGCTTCTGCTCATGGAAATGCTATGTGCCCTATATTTGGTGACCTGGATGTGAACCAGGAACAGAATCCAAGCACCTTTCTTCCGCCTCTCAGGAGAATTTGCGGGCTCAAATTCTGTAACACTAAACCATCTTCCCTACAATGTAAGTGACCTCTGAAATCAAAAAGCCCCATCTGGCCTGATAGAGCTGCTATCTCTATCCTGGGTCTTGGGTTAAAGCAATCTTCCTTTGAACTGTCCAAATCCTTGACTGAACATCTAATAAGCCACCATTTTCACTTGGCAGGTGGGGCTATTTGACAGCTACAGGTGGAAGGTTAATGGTAGGAATTTATGGTGATGAGCCATTCAGAGTTAAAAGGCAGTTTTCAAAAATATTACAGCACTGACATAAAAGAGCAACAAAAAAGAAAACTCGATCATTACATTTTAAAAAGTGTGGGAATACTTCAAGAATAGCCATGTTCAGGGATTCCTGGCTCCTAATCCAGGACTTTACTAACCACAAATGTTCCTGTGTTAATTTATCCAGTTCCTTCTTTAAGTGAATTAACTTACCTTGCAATGTTTAAGATGCTCCTTAGGAGAAAAATCAAGTGTGTCTTCAGAGGGGGACAATATAGTCTTTATTTTTTCTACATCCTTCTCCATCATTTTCACTTCAGATTCAATAACTTCAACATCCTACATTTTCAGAAACAATCATAGTACTTATTCCCTGCTGAAGTCTCTCAAATGCAAAACAATGGTGAACTCGCAGCAATATAACACTCAGAAAGCTCAACTTTTTTATATATCCTAAAAGCCACACATCCCTCGAGTGCTACCTCATTAGCCAGTTGGTTGCATCGATTTTTCTTGAATTCCCTCATTAAATCATGTTCATTACAGCCCAACAAATACAATTCTGTTTTTTTAATACTGAAAAAGCTGTCTAATACACTGGATGTTATAAGAACCACAAGGACAAGGTCAAATTTGCTTCTGGCCCAGGCTAGAATTATATGAAGCCAAACCACATGATGCAGAATGAATTATGCCTTTGCTCTTAAGGTCAATAAAAGAATACCTTCACCTTCTATTTGCTGTTTTGTATGTATTTTTTGGTCCTGGATGCTTCCGACCCATGTACTATATGCCATCTGTTTCCAGAAGGACAGCTGTGTGAATCGTATCAAAGAACTCTGGCATCTCTCCAGAGTTCAACAATGCAATATTCCTGATCCCTAACAGAGGAAGCTGTTTATCTTGTTTAAATAATGTTATGTTGTTTTCTCTCCCAAGAACATAACTGAAATAAATGCTTAACCCTTCTTGCCTACCACTGTCTCAATTTATCTGCTCTTTCTCTTGCCCCACTGTTGTAAAACTGTCTGCTTGCGTTCCACTAAGAGGCATGCACACAGAGGGTGCTAAACCACCAACATCAAGAACAGTACCTGGACCTTCCAAAATCATATAGAAAGTACTTTCTTGTTACACTTACATCAGCCAAGTGCTGGATACGTGGAAGAACTTCCGTTATCTTTTGCTGGAAGGCTTTAACTTGCTCATTTATTTCTGTCAATTCCTGTACCATACCGTCAGTTTCAATTAAAGGGGACAATTCTTTCAATTCTGGGGAAATGGCACTAAGAATACTTTGCTTTTGTTCTGAATCTTCTATTGCCATCTGGAGAGGAAAAGTTATTATTATTTTTCTTTTAAAAAAAAGAGACATTAAAATGCATGAAAGCAGTATATAGTTTGGTAAAATTAGCCCTAACTTCTGAACATTTCAGATGTATTTTAAGTACAGTAATTCATCGGCAACAGGAAAAATATATAGTGAAACAAATTACTAATGTTCAAGAAAAATAATTCAGGGCATCCTGATAAATTTATGCAGGAAAGTCCAGGATGGACAATGGTATTTAAAGTGCTTTCCTGTACCAACTCCCCCACCATTAAATCACACGTTATGCTATGATTTCCTCTTTGTTTCAAGCAAACCCTAGTTATTGCTTTGCTGCTTGTTTTGATTCTGAATTCTAACTAATTAATGAATCAAGTCCAACACATGGAAATTAGCTTATTTGTTTAAAATCTGTACACACATGGATTGGATGCCAGATATAGATTAGCACAATACTATCTGATATCACAGATATCAGATCTCCAATAAGACAATCATTAATCAATAATTATCCTTTACTCATCTGGGATGAAATCCCTATGAATTCAACGCGATTTACTTCTGAGCTTATATGCACAGAAATGCTGTGTTATCTGTGGTACCACCTATACTACCATACTTTATACAGGCACAGGTATACTTTCACCTTATATTGAGGATGGTGACATATCCATGTAACACAATTCCCCTCATATTGGCTTGTCACTGTCTTTTCCAAGACTTTTTAAAACGTTCCTATTTAGCTTACAGCCCTGGTATTCCCTAGTAGTCTCCTACCCAAGCACTAATAAATTGACCTTGTTTAGCTTTCTGAGATCACCCAGGTTGGCTAGGTGCTACTACTTAGCCTAGCACATGTACCTGTACTAGTCACTATCAGTCCAGAAACATGATTAACATGTACCCTAAGGAGAAGCAATAAGTTGTTCCCATCACTGAGTTGCATATCAATTTACCTCGAGTGCACTGGCATGTTTCTTCAAAGCTTTTGTGGAGTCACTTTTCACTTCCTCTGTTAGTAGACGGTTGGTGTTTTGAAGCCAAACCTGGGTGCTTTTCAGGAGTTCATCACATTCTTCCATCTTGCTAGCAGCCTTTAATATAAAATATCATATAATATTTTTACACAAATTAATACATGAGAATCTGAAATATTGGCAAATCATCCAAGTTCCCAAGCAGACTTCCACTCATGCAATAGGACCTTCTCATCATCTCCTCTGGAGCATTTTGTGGAGGAAGAGGGTTTGTAAAAAAAATCATTCCACTAAAGATACTTTTCTGACAGTAGATAAACACCACAGGATTATACTCATTGTGAGTTTCAATTAAATATTCTCAGGAGTCAGCACAGCAGTTAAAATATTTAATGTTTCATTTCTGGTTTAAAATATAAGAAATAGTAGGCATATATTAAGAATATGGAGAAAATCTGGAAATAAAAAAGAGAAGAATAAGTAGCTACTCAGGGAACAGACATTTCTCCCATTCCTTTTGCAGACATTATGTCCATTTTTGTTATTTTCAGATGCATGAGGATTACTTTCTTTAAAGGAAGAAAGAAGAAATACTATGAGATCTGAGTTAAGTATCTCAGTTCTGTAGATAATGCCATACATTCAGAATTTAGGGAACCATTCACAGCTTTGTGGAGCTCTATCAGGCATTATGGAACTATATGCATGTTCACTATATTCACTCTGTCAACTGCATTGACAGATGCATTCTTAAAACATGTACGCGCTGCAACTGATAAAGCTGAGGTCAATACAGGCTGACTGGAAGGAATCTAGACGCATCCAGAGTTATTTCCAACACAAATTAACTCTTCGGTCATCTTTTTACCCTGTTCAAGTTTGTGGTTCTATGCTCGGCGTGCTGTGAAACTTGCTGGTATTGTTGCAGAGGTATCATCAAGCGATCCATCAGTTCTTGAGCCTGGTGAGGATCTTGCTCCACTATGTCTTGAACTTCTGAATCCAGTTCATTCATTTTATAATGCCAAAGATCTAACAAATCCCAGACTCTCTGCATGTAACAGAACGAATCAATGAATGAACAAAGCTTTTAAAATTTTTAACTTAGTTTTTGCAACTTTCACAATAACAGACATGAGACAAGTGAGAAAAGGGTACAAATGAAAGATAAAATGTAGATATCGTCATCCTGATTAACCATCTGATTTCAGGTCAAGAGAATAAATCAAATATAGAAGACAAAGCCTCAAAAAATACTTTTAAAAAGCTATATTGGCTGTGGTAGCTCATGCCTTCCTTACCACTAGACTAGACCATGGCAATGCATTTTATATGAGACAGCCTTTGAAGAATACATAGAAACTAATTGGCGCAAAATGCAGCAGCCCACAGGCTTGTGAGTGAGACTCACTACATCTACATAACACTAGTGTTTGGGGCACTAGTTTGTTTTCTGGTATGTTCTCAGATGCAATTCAAAGGTCTAGTCTTAACTTGTAAACCCTACATGGCTTGGCTCCCAAATATTTTCAAGATGGCCTCCTTCATGTGAAGCCAGCCCATTCTGTATACCCATCTTGGGTGGGAATGCTCAGGAATTCCCACATAGAGAAGGTTAGAGTGTGGTGGCTACCACCTTGTGAAACAACCTTACCGAGGTATTTGTTTGGAACTTATCTCTGAATCCTTTTACAAGGCTGTGATGAAGCTTTTTGTAGGGCCTTCATATCTTGATTGCTGCAGTTAGTGAGTTGGGGTTGTACTAGGTTTGTATATTGTCATCTTTTATTGATTATTGCTTTTATTCCCAGGTTTGTTTTTTTAAATTACAAACCCCTGAGAGTTGATTCAAATTACAATGGTATATACAATGTAGAGCCACTTTGGTGTAGTGGTTATGGCATCAGGCTAGAAACTGGAAGACTATGAGTTCTAGTCCCGCCTTAGGCACTAAGTCAGTTGGGTGACCTTGGGCCACTCACTTTCTCTCAGCCCTGGGAAGGAAGCAATGGCAAACCACTTCTGAAAAACCTTGCCAAGAAAACTGCAGGGACTTGTCCAGGCAGTCTCCGAGAACCAAACCTTGCCAAGAAAACTGCAGGGACTTGTCCAGGCAGTCTCCGAGAACCAAACCTTGCCAAGAAAACTGCAGGGACTTGTCCAGGCAGTCTCCGAGAACCAGACATGATTGAACAGATAGCAATACATATACATATACAATAAAAATAACAAATTAAACAATTGCTGAAAATTGTTCAGGATTTGGGAATCTAAGAAGGGATTGAAAGATTCAAAACTACCTAAACTGAGCTTTTAACAAAAATATTGCTACTAAACTAGACTGTCATCAAAGAAGAGACATTCTCCCCATCATCTAGAATAATTTATTTCTATTGTACTTTATGATCCAACTAAACTAGCCCGATTTACAGAAAATGGTTCACATATAGTAACAGAAAGATCCAGCTTCTGGCATCTCCTGTTAAAAGGATCATCATTTTTATCATTATGCCCAAATGAAATACGTCAGAGATGGGCAATATGTGGTCTGCATGAATCTTCCAGAACCTTTTTGCTACGGCCTCCCCCCGCCCTCAGATTATCACCTGCCATGGCCAACTGCAGAGGAATTATAATCTCTGTACACTGGGGGCTGCTAGATGGCTGATGCCTGCTACAGGCCCTATATCATTTCTGTTTTAAAGATACTACTTTACTTCCAGGTTTATACCTGATAAAAACAGGTCTGGTTTAAAAAAGTAGCTCTGGGGGTAGAATCAACATCATTTGGGGAAGGAAAGCTAATTGCTTGAGCTGGAGCATAGAAGTGGGATGTTACCTTCTGAATTTCTTTTGCTTTTGCAATGTTTTCACTCTTCTGTTGTAACATGTTTTCAACAGCTTGCAGGCCTTTGTTAATGTCTTCTATTTTTTTCTCTGTACTGTAGTGAGGAGAATTTTTCAGGAATTCTGTGCTGACCTATCATGATGAAGAGAAAGTGAGTGAAAAATTCAGCACTGGATGGGGAAAATAAAAAACTAAACTTAAAAACTAAACTATCAGTTCTTTCAGATTATGAATAGTTTCCCCCCCCCCGCCTTTAATTATCCTATCCCCCCGCCTTTAATTATCCTATCCCCCCGCCTTTAATTATCCTATCCCCCCGCCTTTAATTATCCTATCCCCCCGCCTTTAATTATCCTATCCCCCCGCCTTTAATTATCCTATCCCCCCGCCTTTAATTATCCTATCCTTAGTTTTAAAAATTATACACCCAGGTTAGGTCCATGCATTACTCTAAGCTATAATAAAATGGTTTGGTGGTATGAAAAGTATGAGCCAATAGTTCTCAGGCCAGAGTTGGCAGTTATGTAAACGTTCAACTACAACTCATGTCAAGGCTAGCAACACCATGCAAAAGAGGCTGTTAATTTATGAGAAGGGCAGGGAAAAAAGGCTATGAGTCACCATGGGTACAAGAGACACTTATTCTCACAGATTGGAGGTTGATTTGGCTTCATTCCTGTCTGCCATAAAGGTTCTTATCGACCCAAAACATTTGTAAGATGTCTGCTTAGTCCTAGCCTAGGAAACTAATTTAGCCTTCTAAAGTCAAGATTTACAAATGTGTTAGAATAATGTGTAAACCAGTCACAATATTTTTATGGTTTACAGAATTATCAGAGGATTTGTTCAAATGCTGCATGGCAGGTTAGTGAAAGGGACAGTGAACAGAAAAACTATAGGTATAGTTGAAGATGCATAGATACAGTGTGTGAGCATGGAAAGGAAAACCCCAAAGATAATTTTCTAGAGAATAAACAAAATGTAACTGGAATAAGTCTGGGGTTTCAGCAACAGTTACCCTAAGTTTTAAAATCAATCAGGGTGATGCTACCTTTTCTTCCAGGTCGTGTAATGTTCTTTTGCAGTCTTCCAAATGCATTTCAATATCAACTGGAATGATTCTATATATTTCAGTGTACTTGATTTGTAGGTCCTCCATGATCTGCTTCTTGCTATCAACCACTCTCTGAATCTCCTAAGAGGAAAAAAGAATTAGTAATTGCTTCAAGATTGGTTGGAGGGAATGATCTCTCCCACTATGCTTAAGGTACAAACAGGTAGTTTTTGCATGACAAAGCTTTTCAGAGCAAAACCTGAGAGATGCTTACTTTGTTTTTTTATTATGCTTTTCAATTCACTGAGAACACATTAAATCCAATACCTTTTCATTGTACTGGCAGGGCTTACTAATGGATAAAATACTAATGCAGGCACATAAAAATGCTTGTTTGATTTAAGCTCCATAAAGAGCTTTTCAGATTCAGGACAAAAAAATTCTAAAAACATTTTAAAAAAATAGATTGAAGTAACAACAAAAGGTGACTAAAAGTACATTCGCTGGGCCATTAGTTTTGGTGTAATCTTAATGAAAAGATCCAAACAAAACAGCTCCTTCCAGTTCTGCATGAAGGGTATCATTTTCACAGGATAAAACAAACTTGACTGTTATTATTTGTGGCCTAGAAACCCAATCTGGTCTACATCCTCTGGCATGAAAAAAAAACCCACCACCATGAAATATATTTCGGTGCCAAATAACTTGGATCTCTTGCTGGGAGATACATTTCATTTACAATTATTAGTTTCCCAAGATATCAAAATATTGGAATTTATTTCTTATTTCATAGTAAGAGAACAAATGTGAAAATAAAGGGTATGTGTTAAGAACTGCAAAGAAATGAAATTTGGCTAAATGTTAGAGGAAGTTTCATAACAGGCGAAGGT